TGCAAATGGCTCTGAGAAAGGAGTTGTGGCAGATAAAAGGTATTCTAGTCTTCCTTACTGTTCCATGCCAAAATGCATGGCGTGGCTATGCAGCATATCTGCATAGTCCATCACTAGGTCTTATTATCGGGGTAGGGCTTATATTTAACAAATGCATAGAAATCCTGCTAGGGCTTATTTTGGGGGTAGGTCTTATTTTCAGGGAAACACAGTAGCTATAAAATAAAATTTATAGTCAAGATAACCTACCCACTAATATAATTTTTTTTAAATAATGCCTGATCAGTAACAATAAGGGTGATATAAGAAAAACAAGTTTAAAGTAAAAGTGATGCACCACAATATAAATTCTCAGCACAGCTATACTAGACATTATTAAGTTTGCAGATATTTGTCCCACGTGTGTACATAGAATAACCTGAATGTGTGAACTACGAATTCCAAAGGATACTACTATGTTGTGTTGCTAGCAAAAATACCATGAATGATAGTGCTATTAAGGATGTGATTTTTCCAAAAGAATGAACAACATGAAAAAATAAAGTAGACCTCTCCTCTTTGAAATATTGAAGGGAGTTGAATTCCTAGAAAATTCAGTGCAAAAAAACTGTGTTTTTTTGGTGAAATATAGTTGTTTTTAGACTCAGATCAATAAATTTTTACCTACATGAATGCTCAGAGGGAAATTTAAAAGTCCGTGTGATGCGTGACAAACTTTCCCATACTTTGAAGGATTTTTGGTTTTCTTGGTCACTAGCCCGTTAAATGGTAGGAATGTCCTCTAATTATCATGACAACCAAAAAAGTTCTTAAATTCTCAAAATATATCCATACTACTTCCTACCCTCATTGTGCTCTGTTGAGCATGATTTCATTTATGTGAAAATGCATGAGAAGTGATTGGAGAACACAGTTTCCAAAAACTGTGTTTTTCTCCAACCACTGTTGAGTTACAGGCTTTGAATAGGTATAGCACTGGACTTATCCAGCAGTGGTTTATATTTTTCCAGGTGTGTACAAAGAAGGAAGAGAGGCAAAGGGTTGAGAGTGAGGGCAAGAGAGTGGCTATAATGCTGGACCGTGGATGTTAGCTAAGTACAAAGAGAACTGTTGACCTGGCTGTGGAGTATGAAAAGGTGATAGATGCAAAGGCCTGGAGCTCCTAGTGAAGTTGAGGAATTGTTGGAATAGGGATACATAAATACATGAACTAGAAAACAGGGAGGCAGTGGTGAGAGGTAGCGTTTTTGAAATTGTGATTTTACAAATGCTACAGTTATCTGTTATGACCAATTTGAGGTTATGTCCTTGGGAAGGGTAGGCTGAATCTAAAAAGGGGTTAAGATCAGTAAAGGCACTGAGAGGTCAGAAGGGATTATCTACGTAGATATTGAAAAGATGTTGAGTAATTAAAGGAGGACAGGACAAAAGTAGACAAGAATGATAAACTTTTCAATAAATGAGGGGGGGGATAGAAGACAACTGATAAGAATGCAACAGGAGAGGGTAATAGGTATTATGGTCTATTGATAGATGCTTCAAGGTAACTGGGGATCTTTGGAAATGAATGGAGTAACAATAATCTAAAAGTAGCCATAAGGAGCAGAAAGTGAACTTTTCACCTCTGGACCTAGAAGAACTTCGCATGTAGGTGATAAAACTACAGCAAGAGAAGTTTCAAGAGAAGCAGATCCTTGGAGATACCCAGGTATTCAGAAAAATAAAATAAAATTGATGTGGCCTAAATATGTGTGCTCTGTCACTAGCAGCCGCCTTCTGAAGCTGTTCCCTAATATTCCAAAAGCTTAAATATGTCATCTGAATGAATGAACTCTCCATTTTTCTTTAGATTTTATTTTGGATTATTGAGCATTTATTGTCTTGCTTGTAGCTAATGCTCTAGCACAGCGGTTCTCAACCTGTGGGTCATGACCCACAGGAACTGTATTAAAGGGTCACGGCATTAGGAAGGTTGAGAACCACTACTCTAGGATGATCTAATGGAGTTGAGGAATTGTTGGAGCAGGAAACATAAATACTTGAACTAGAAAAAAGGGAGGCAGTGGTGAGAGGGCAGGGATCTAGATGTTGTGAGAAAACAAGACATATTTTAAAAATTACTGCATTTCACCATTACCCTGCCTCTCAGAGTGCTCAACTTGGTTCCTCCTGGTTCTGTGGGGTAAGGAACAAGTTTTTCCACCCCTAAGACTCCTGGTGTTCTGGTTCCATAAAGTTCCAACAAGTTTCTGGGAAACCTGATCATTGATCATAAAGTTGAGTGCTGTGGGTGGTTCTGACAGGGCTGGGGTGATCTCAGAGGTTCAGGTGACCATCATGTGTGCTACAAAATTATAGGTGATACACGGCCTCTGTATTCTCATTCACTAATCCATGACGTATTACTCTAATAACTGTTCATCATTTCATTTCTAGGACCTGTATTTCTTAGCTATCATCATCCCATCATTTCGTTTCTAGGATCTGTATTTCCTAGCTGTAATTATATTCTTGCCAATGTTAAATTTTATTGGCTAGTTTTGATTTAGGAATTTTACATCTTTAATTATAAGTAAGATTACTATATTTCTTCTTAGGTTACCAGTGACTTAATTTGTTATGAACATTATTTCTCCTTCATGGGATGAATTAACTAGTTTTCTACATCTTTATGGTTTAGAATATTTTATGTGGAAATTATGTCCCATGCCCTGCAAGGTTATATGAGCAGGAGCATGTTTTCTGTTTCCTATTTTCTTTTCTTTTTTTTTTTTTTTGGCCGGGGCTGGGTTTGAACCCGCCACCTTTGGCATATGGGGCTAGCGCCTTACTCCTTTGAGCCACAGGTGCCTCCCTGTTTCCTATTTTCTATTCCAAATCTTTAAGTCTTTTCTTCCCAAGAAAGGTATTTATTCTTCAGAATTTTTATATTTATTAATACTATTACTTTTAATATTTTCTGGAACTTTTAATATTTTCCTAGAACTTTCCAAGGAGCAGGAGTTGGATGATTTTGTTGAGGAAATTGTTCTTTCAATGAAATGGAAGCTTCTCCCACAGGACGTGCCTTGATGCTAAAATACCCTACGTTTCTCCTTAAGTGTATAACTCCTTTTAAGACAGTATATTGAAAAACTAATATACCTTGTCTCCTACATGATACTGAATACTTTTGAGAGTCATGACATAATTTTTCCTCATAGTATTTCTAATAGCAGGATGAGGTATGGAGTCAGTGTGGGTGATGGCAGAGAACCAGACTCCACACCAGCATTCAAATCCCATGTTTCACACAGGATTCAGATTAAACGTGCATTTGTTATCAATTTGTTTACGTTTCTAAAAACGATAGAGGTTGTTTAACTTCCTTTCTCTGAACTTCAAACTACTGAATATTTTCTTATCTTTTTCACTAAAGCATAAAGGGAATCAACTGGTTACACAGCAGTACAGTATTCACTTTTTGTAATTTGCCTTCTAACCTGTTCTTAATTCACTGATGTTCCTTTCCTGTCATTTTTGATACCTTAGATTGTAAAGCCCATATCTTTTTGTTTTTGTCTGTTGTTAACTATTAAAGGAAGTTTTCAATCTGTTAAAATAAAAAAATTGCAGTAAGACTATGAATGATCATGTTGATAAACATTTTAAAAATGTGTTTCACATATGAGTTTGGAATTTATTTCCGATTTTATGTTTTTTATGATGCTAAGCACTAAAACTTCATAGGTCTTACTCTCTTGTATGTATATATGTTCTGCCTAATCCTATTAGTGACCCTAGAAACACCTCGAAATAAATATACTTTTACAATCTTAAAAAAAATGATCATTCATATTCTTACTGCAGTTTTTTATTTTAACAGATTAAAAATGTTAATATTTTCTATATTTAGCTCAGTTTTTCTGTTTCGTTTGTTGTATTTTTATTCATCTAGATTTATTTGCAAGACATTTGCTATTATATTTTTTATTTCAAAAAAATTTCTTTGAAACAGTCACAGTCTACTAAGGTTCTATTTTCAAAATCACTGTCACAGTCTACTAAGGTTCTATTTTCTAAATCATTGCTTTTTGAATCTTTATTATTTCTCCTCCACCTGTTTTTCCACAGGAAAATTTTATATACCTTTTAAAATAAATTATTGAGTTGAATACTTTATTAATTTCAATAGCTCTTAATAAATTAATACTTTTTAATATTATAAATTTACCTTTGAGTATAATTCTATATGTACTTGGTAGGTTTTTAAGTATGTTATTTTCCTTGCTTATGAAGTATCTATTGATCACATTATTTTTTTCCCCTGTTTGATGTAATAGAAGTTTGGGAGAGAAAATGTTTGTTTAATTATGTGGTTGAAATTATGAAATTTAAACTTTCATTTATATCTAATTTGATCCTATCATTTGGCACAATATGTGGCTTCTTCAATTTTTACTTTAAAACTGTTAAAGTTTACTATGTGAATATGTGGCACATATTACAAATATTCCATGAACTTTTGAGAAAGATATTTTCTGTTAGCAAGCTATACTACATGTATTGATTATATAAGTCATATTTTATGTCCTTATTTATTACTTAAAAATATTACCTAGTAGTTTACAATCTATTAGTCATGTAATAATGACTCCCATAATAATTGTATGTCAGTTTCTTTTTGAATGTCTCAATTTAGTTTTGCTTGACTTTTTTACATTACTATTGGCATATGTCATTGTTACTATAAAATGACTTTTATTCTACTTTGCTTTTTGTCTCGAATTCCACTATCTAGTGTAACACTGCCAATTTTGCCTTAATTTAAGCATGTTTTCCTGACTTAAGCCTTTAGTCTTTTATTTGTTAGTTACTTTCATTTGTGTCTTCTATAAATAGCACATCAGGTTGGGGTTTCTAATTCAAACTAGGACATAGCACGTACTCCATGAATACAATGAATATTTTAAAGTGATATGTAACCTTGCTTAATTCTTTTATCTTTTGTTTTATTTTAGGTGGGCCATAAAACATGAAGGAACCAGTAAGCCAGACCAGTGGAAACATTCCAGAGTTGAAAATCCTCTATGGAACAAGCTTACCTACATGTGGCCAGTCCTTCCCAGTGGCCAACTAAATGAGGTTGTGTTTTTTAGTATAACAAGTGGCTGTTGAGACTTACTTTCAGGTCCAGTATGTTTTCATATTTCTGAAAACTTCCATGAAGCTTTTGAATTGTGATTGTGGGTGTAAGAGATCAATCCTGCTAATTCTTTTGTTTCATCAATTTATTAGAAAGATGTGATTTAAGTCTTCCATTATGGAGACAAATTTATCTATTTCTTCTGGAAGTCTATCAAATTTTACTTCATATATTTTGAAATTTAATTCATAGGCATGTGAATGTTCAAAATATTATATCTCCCTGGTAAACTGAAACTTTTATAACTTTTATGTAGAAACCCTAACTCTTATAAAGGTCTCATTTGTAGAATACTAACAGAAACATTTCAATGTTCCATTGGCTATAATTAACCTTGCATTTCTTTTTTCCACCCTTTTAATTTCTGTTTATATATTCTTTTGTTTTAGGAGCATCCCCAGTAAGCAGCTAATATAGTTAAGTAAAAAAAATGTCTAACAATATTTGTCTCTAACCTAAAGTATTTGGTCTCTTCTATTTATTGCAATTATGACTAGATTCTGTATTTGGATTATTGTTTATACTTGCTTTGAATTTTCTGTTTCTTTTTCCCTCATTCTTGTATTCTTCTAGACTGATTTTTTTTCATTACATTTTTCTCATCTACTAGTTTGGAAATTATACCCTCTCTTTCCATTCTTTTTTTGTCGTTACCCTGAATGTTTTACTTTTCATGCATAAGTGATAAAAATCTAAAGTTAAATATATTTACTTTTCTCTCACATAGTCAAGAAGATTAGAAACTTTTAACTTCAATCATGCTTTTTGACTTATATGCTATTATTGTTGTGGATTTTAATTTTATTATTTAAAAAGTTTCCATAAGATACTAACACTATTGTGTGAAGTCCATATGTATTAGACTTACTTCAATGGTGTCATTCTTGTTATAATTCCTTCTTATGTCCCAGTCCTTTTACCTGGGATGACTTTCTTTCTACCTGGTGCATCCTTATTTTACTTATTGAAGGCAAATTCTTTCGGTTTTTACCTATCTGAGAATGTCCCTCATTCACGTAAAGCACTTTCACTTAGCAAACTAAAGATAATCACCACTGACTTCTAATTTCCATAGTTGTTACAGAGAAGTAAGCTAGCATTCTAAATATTATTTCTTTGAAAGTAACTGTCTTTTTTCTCTTCCTGCCTTTTTTGTTTGTTTGTTTGTTTGAGACAGTCTCACTATACTGCCCTTGGTAAAATTCCATGGTGTCACAGCTCACAGCAACCTCAAACTCTTGGGCTTAAGCGATTCTCTTGCCTCAGCTTCCAAAGTAGTTGGTACTACAGGCACCCAACACAATGCCAGGCTATTTTTTTGTTGTTGTTGTAGTTGCCATTGTTGTTTAGCAGGCCCAGGGTGGGTTCGAACCTGCCAGCCCCAGCGTATGGGGCCAGTGTCCCAACCACTGAGCTATCAGCTCTGAGCCTCTTCCTGCTTTTAATATCTTCTTTTTTCTTTGGTATTCTATAGTTTCACCACAATATATCTGAGAGAAGATTTCTTTTTATTGATCTTGCTTCGGATTCTTTGGGGTTCTTGAATCTCTGAATTTGTATCTCCCATAATTTTTGGAAAATTATCAGCCATCGCTCATCAAATATTCTTGTTCTTATATTCTTTTAATTCTGGTGTATGCCAGAGCTCCTCATTTTGGATCTTCATGTCTCTTAACTTCTCTTCCATAGTTTTCATCTCTTTGCATGTTTATCATGCATTTTAACATCATATTTTCAGACATTTTTCTTCCAGATTATTATTGTTTTCTTCATCTTTGTCTAATATGATTTCAACTCCAAACAAGAATCAGTCTATGATATGAATTCTCAAGGAAGCTTATTTTTCTTCACATAGCAAAAATGTTTGAGATAATGTATTTTATCTTCAACCACCTGGAAAGATGTTATCTCTGGTTTACCTTTTCAGCAAAGTGTAGCCTACTGTGATTCCTGTTTTGTGAAGGGAGATCCCCTATTTGACTTCCCACCTTGCTGAGCTCTGAAATTTGTCTCCTGACCTCTTCTCTTATAAGACTGTGGAAGCAGAAACTTAACTTCCTTGGGGCCTAGTGAATTCCCTCAAGATAAAAGTCAGGTTCAGCATTCTGCACATCTTTCCAGTTCTCTGATATGTCTAACTTTATTGCTAGATCAATGACACATGCTAAAAGAGTTTTAAAAATATTCTTTGTCCTAGTTTTAGTTGTTTTCAGCAGAGGGCCAATCAACTTAACTTCTTTTGTGAAATTTTCTGTTCCCAAACACTTTTTTTCTTTTTGTTAAAAATCGTGTGATTCCTTATGCCTCCTCACTGAGTGAATCAATATGTTTCAGCACTTTAGGGGAAGAACAGATGGAGTCTAAAGTCAAGAAGTTATTGCATTGGGCACCAAAGATACCCTTATATTTAGACTACAGTGAATCAATAGTCTAGAAAGTTGAATTCTGTTAAAAGAAAAATGAATTCTTTAACATAGTGAAGGCTATAAGGTGGGCAGCCTGAGCCAGTGGCTGGAAGTGTCTGAGACTCAGGATTTGAAAGCCAACATGGAGCCAAGAGTGGGGGTGGCAGGGAGAGTCCAGTAGGCCCAGCATGAGCCAAGAAAAAACATTGTGAATTGTACTGATTATGAATTTTTCTCCAGAGGTTGAGGCAGGATAAGGCTGAAATCCAGAGAGCAGGCAGGATAACTTATACATCAGCTGCTGACATAACCAGATGCCAGAGGCTACCCAGAAGCCAAAAAAGTCAGGGAGCATGTTCTTAGAGGGCTGGGAGCATCCAGGACAGCACACAAGGACCGACATATAAACCATGGACTGCTTTCCCAATGGCACATGGTGGTTTATTGAACTTGCATCTAAACTCACAAACCATCTTGAGGGGGAAAGGTACATCCTTGAAAGGAAACAACAATTATGGTAAGAAGTCTGAACCTTCAATTTGATTGAATATGTATCCAAAAGGGCAGAGCTAGAACATAAACAAACAAAAAGATGCTATTTTAGGCAGAAACTGGGGCACCTCTAATTGGAATATCAAGCTTTCCACTTACCTAATGAATAGAGGATGAACAGAGATGCCTTATAAGAAAGTACTTCCTTATTTAGGGAATGATAAAAAATTATCATAATTGAAAACTCCATAGACACTATGCTTAATTGTTTTGTACCTTGGTATATAAGTACAGTAGTGCAGCGGCCACATATGCCGAGGGTGGCAGGTTCAAACCCAGCCTCGGCCAAACCACAACAAAAAAATAGCCAGGCATTGTGGTGGGCGCCTGTAGTCCCAGCTACATGGGAGGCTGAGGCAAGAGAATCACCTAAGCCCAAGAGCTGGAAGTTGCTGTGAGCTGTGTGACACCACAGGACTCTACTGAGGGCGATAAAGTGAGACTCTGTCTCAACAAAAAAAAATTAATTCAGTTATTTAATTGACTTGAATGACGAATGGTAATTATATTAGGAAATAGTTAAACAGATTCCTTTTAATATATACCTTAAAAATAACATTTTTGGTGATGGTCTGGTTTTAGGAATGAATATAGACTATTCCAAAGTTCTCCAGGCCATTCACACAAAACAGTAGCTTTTGCATGGTGTGTGTAAGTTACTGTACCTCAACAAAACTCTGGCTCTTACTTCTAATGAAGGGAAAGGGCTAAAGCACTTTATTAGCTAAAGTCAGACAAATTGACCATGTATTTCAAAATAACTCAATCCAAGGGTCCGCCTATTTTTTAAAATGTCTGAAGAAGAAAAGAAAATTCTTACCAAGCAGGAACTCCTATAACTCTCATTCAAATTAAATACAATCTATTTCACTTTAAGTCCAACTCCATCTTATTAAAGAAATCATATTTTCTTTCCATCCCATTTTTACATAATTGATTTTTTTAGCAAAAAAAAGATTTTATTTCAGTGTATAGTTAAATGCAGTTTGTATTTTGGTTAGACATATTTTTAAAATAAATAACCTGTGATTAGCAAATGTGACATTCATATTGTGGGATTCAGAATACTTTGAGTACTGTTACATATACTCATATACCAGACTTAATCTTCCAACTTTTCTATTTTTCTAACAATTATTTATTATATATTTAGGCAATGTAGACAGAGCAAGGAAGGAGAAAGACATGGTCTCACCTAAATGAAGCTTATCGTTTTTAGAAGTGTAAGCTATGAGTCAACAATTAAGAAACCGTAAAGGGAAGGAGGCAGAGTTTATGAATAAAGAAGAAAGAAGAAACTCAAAGGAAAGTTTAGTGATGCAGGAGCCAAGTCTATTGGTTGAGCCAGTTCATTCAGTTATACAGTCAGTATGAAGATTAGCCAGGCTGATTTTCTAAATGAGCTTGAAAATTAAATCAAAATACAGAATCTAAGAAAACCATCTAATAAACACTATTCTAGAGAGGTTTCAATTCTTCTGTCAATTCCTTGACAAGAACCTTCCAAAATTGAGTGAAGACTAAGGGAAGATTTAAGGAAATATGGAATTGTCTTTGTAGTGTTTCAGACTGCATTAATACCCCAAATCATTCACTTCTCAGTGATGATAGCTGCTCTGAGAACTGATTTCATGCTGTTTTCACTTTTAAATATTATTCAATTGATGTAATAATATTTTTGTGAACAAACAGCATTTCATATACCTAAGGATGTCAGTATTTTTAAAGTATGTTAAAGCCTCACTCAGACACAAGACTGGTGGATTCTTTTGGTTTCTTTTGTGACTAAGTTCATTAGAAAAATTTGCAGGAATTCAAGTTATTTTCTCACTCTTTGGGGAAAAAATTTACTTCTAAACATTTAAAGGTAAGGAGCAATGGACTGTCACATTCAAGGAAAAAATTGTTGGAAAAAAGTGAGATTGAGAGGATGTAATGTATTGGAATGAGCTGCTGGAGAGTGATTTTAACATTTCTAAATT